ATAATTAAACAAATTTGTTAGTTTTGAAATGTGAACTTTAAAACTAGTAGATATGTATTGTTCCCTATAAATAATGCCTAACCGCAGGTCCATCGGACATATCCTTAATAAGCCCAGGCCCAATTTTTCGGGCCAGTAAGAGTTTGAGGTGAAATATGTCGGGGGCTTATCACATTATCGTTTGGGCAGCTTACAGAAATACCCTAAAATTAGTGATCTTTTGAAAAATTATATGAAAAGTATTTTAAAAGAAAAATATATTGTGTATATAAAGTGTCACTTTTTAATAAAAAGTGACATTCACTTTGATATCACTTTTAAAAAAGTGATGTTTCTCACTAAAAAAATGACAGAAATTTCAAGAAAATGATAGAGAATGAAAAAAAAAAAGAAGACTTAAAAATGCTGTTAAAATTAAGTGATGCAATATTACATTTTTAAGTTAAGTGTTACTTTTTTATTAAAAAATAAAAAAGAGATTTTTGTTACTAAAAAAAGTGATAGAAATTTCAAGAAAGTGGTATGGAATAAAAAAAAGTAACAAACACTACAAAAAGTGACGAAGACTAAAAAAATTGATACATGATACAAGCTCCAAAGTCTAGTTAGCCATGAACCTTCTCATTATACATTTGACATTTTTTTCTACAGATAATCACTGAATCGCAAAACTTTCAGAAACTAAAGAATTTATTTCAATTGAAATTGTTGGTCTTCTATTCTGATTTACAACCTTCTTCAAGCGAAAGAAAAGTCTTCAAGTCAATAAATCAATTGAGCTCCATGGAAGTCTCATAATAAGCTCTTCAATATTTAACACGAAACACAAGATACAGTAAACAATTAAATAAGCAACTTCAACTTGACCAGAAAAGAAGAATAAAATAATCTAATTTGAATCCAAAATTAGCTACTTAAATCTCACTTTCCATATCAAAGCAACTCCTCATTAAAATAATTGCCCTAGTTCACGCTATCATGTTACTATAGATATAAACATACATCATTGATAGTTGTATGTCACCAAAGTCACACATTTTGATGAGTTTTTTAGTTTCCTTATGTAGAGAAATCCTTGGTAAATTGATCAAATGGTCTTGAATATTAAGAGTGTGTTTGATTGACTTTATTTTTCATAAAAAATGTCATTTTCATCTAATTTCAAGATTTGGAGTGTTTAATTGACAATTTTTTCCACAAAAAAATATTTTCAATTTTTTGATCATGTGATCATATTTTACTCAAAAACAAGAATTTTTTTTTTTTTTAATTAGGGTGGATTTTATTTTCTAGGTAATTCACTCTCTCTTTCTCTATCTCATCTACCCACCAATAAAAAATGGACAAGTATAATATTTATGTTGAAAAACCAAATCAATCAAACACATTTAATTAATAATTTTCATACAAATAAGTTATAAGCAATTGAATTACCTATAATTTATTTTATTTTCGTGTAAATTCCACACTCTCAATCAAATGCACCCTAACATTCCTAACTCACATTAGCTCTTTGTAAGAAACCAACCTTACAAATCAGAATCAATTCATCTGTCCTTTTCTCTATTCAAATAAAATAAAGTTTTAGGCACTGTTTGATAGGACATTATTTTTCATGGAAAATAGAAAATAAATTTCAACTTCCACTTTTGCATTATTTGATGCACTTTATTTTCCATGAAACAAAATTTCTACCTTTGGCTCAGATGCTCACCAATTCCTTGATTTTATGGAAAACCAATTCCCACCATTTCCTTTGGTGGGAATTGATTTTCCATCTTTTTTTTAAGCAATTGAAATTTTTTTTAGATATAATGTTAAATAATTTTATCATTTTTATTGACAATTTTCATACAAAAAAGTTAAACGAATGTTATTCGGTATGCTATTTTTTTAAAAAAATAAATAAATTTTTTTTTTTGCAAGTGAAACAAATTCTAAACCCAATGGTAAAAGAAATTATC